TTGTACTGCAGACGCGGTGCACAATAAGGACACTACAAGTTTGTAACGCGAACGTCCACCCGGAAATTGCTGTATCTTTGTAATGCAAGCGTTGTGAACTTTGACGTCACTACAAGCTTGTGACAACGCCCACCCGGAAATTTCTGTATTTCTTTGTCATGAAGGCGTTGTGAACTTTAAGGCCATTACAAGCTTGTAACGGGAACGTCCACCCGGAAATTTCTGATAGGCGTTGTGAATTTTTAAGGACACTACAAGCTGGCTGAAAATCGAAAACCTGGGTTTGGGTGAGATCAGGGCTCTTTTGGCCCAAGCTCCCCTACGCAGCCCAGCCTCGCCCAGCCCAAATGGTGGAGGGGAAGGAGGTGGGGGTGGCCAAATTCGTTGGAGAGAAGGGGGGGGTGGCAGAGAGGGGGGGTGGCCATCTTCGTTGGAGAGAAGGGGGGGGGTGGCCATCTTCGTTGGAGAGAGGGGGGGGGGTGGCCATTTTCGTTGGAAATTCCGGCCTAGGGTGGCCATCTTCGTTGGAGAGAGGGGGGGGTGGCCATCTTCGTTGGAAATTCCAGCCTGAGGTGGCCATTTTCGTTGGAGAGAGGGGGGGGGGGTGGCCATTTTCGTTGGNNTTGGAAATTCCGGCCTAGGGTGGCCAAATTCGTTGGAATGAGATGCAAAAACCGAATTCCAACGAAAGTATAGGGTTAAAATACATATGATAAAGAGTGTTTAGGGTTCAGGGTTTAGGGTTCAGGGTTCAGGGTTTAGGGTTTAGGGTTTAGGGTTAGGAGCTACTATACTAGATTAGGGAGACTGAAAGGACATCCTTACCTTATTGGGCTTTATAAGGATTTATATGGGATATCCCTATCCTAATTTTTGCTTCTGTGCTTTTTCGGGGGCCTGCTACAGGGGTTTCCTTTAGAAAGGGGATTGTGAGGAGCTCGGTAAAGGGTGCTTTATGGGTTTGGGGTCGTAAGGGTAAGGGGTTTAGGGTGTGAGGCTTGCAAGAAACGGGGTTTAGGGCTTCGGAGGTTGTTGCGTTTATAGGTTTTAGGCCGAGGCTTCTTACGGTGTAGGTTGCAGGGCCTAGGAGCTCAGCGCTCCCCCTCCAAAATCCCATGATTCAGAAACATCGACTATAGTCCTTGAGCTTTTGAGCTGGTGGTAAGGTTTCTGCACAGTTTCTTCCTAAAGCTTCGCCGGAAACCATGGTCTGTAGGTGAGGCTATGGTTCCGGGTTTAGGGTTTGGGGTTTAAGGTTTAGGGTTTGGGGGTTTATTGGTGTCTGGGGGGGGTTCGGTTCCTAATCAAGTTGATGCATGCTTGGCTTTCGTCCGAGGACATCTACAAGTACGTGATGCTGAAGGACCGCGTGCATATGGATTCCCGCCACCACCCCGCAACTTGTATCAGCGCCCCTAAGCCTGAACCTCCAAAGCCCTAAGTCATAAACCCTGAAACCGTAGGCCCTACCGCCTAAATCCCCAAACCCTAAGGCCAAAGCCCCTAAAGCACCAGCCTTCTTCACTGAAATATAGGGGCCTAAATAAGTACCAATGCTATTTTGGGGGGGTTCCTTGTTGTAGCTGTAGTATACTGAACCCCAAAATCCTGTTCTAATTAGTAGGGCCCCTATATTACCCTAAACCTAAACCCCTCAGGCAGGTGGAAAAGAGGGGACACAAAATAAAATTAAACCCCCTTACACCCCTTACACCCCTGAACCCCTAAACCCCTAAATAAAATTAAGCCCCTTACACCCCTAAAGCCCTAAATAAAATTAAACCCCTTACACCCCTAAACCCCTAAACCTGTACCTGCTTAGAGCCCTACGCTATGCAGATCTCTTATAGAACCTTTTCAGGAGCCCTTTAAAGGAGCCCCTATTCTAATAATTAAGGCCCTTACCTTACTATACTACCTGCTTAGAGCCCTTACACTTACACCCCTAAACCCTAAACCCTAAACCCTAAACCCTAAACCCTAAACCCCTAAACCCCTAAACCCCTAAACCCCTAAACCCCTAAACCCCTAAACCTCTACCTGCTTAGAGCCCTACAGCCAGGACGGCTCGGCCTTTGTCGGGCCCAAGTTCCCGAGCCTCTTGGCCAGAGGGTTTCAGAAGGGTTCGGAGGGTTTAGGGTTTCGGTTTTAGGGTTTCGGTATTAGGGTTTCGGTATTAGGGTTTAGGGTTTAGGCTTTAGGGTTTAGGGTACAGGGTTTAGGGTTTAGGGTTTAAAGTTTAAGGTTTAGGGTTTAGGGTCTAGGGTTTAGGTTGTAGGCTTTAGGGTTAGGGTTCATCTCAGGGTTTCATAGAAGGCTCTCCCTTAAAGGGGTCAGAAGGGTTTGATTTGAAGGTCTTATGCGGGGCTGAAGAGCGCTTTAGAGTATGAGAGGGTTTAGAAGGGTATCATGGGCTCCATGAGGGCATTCGGGGCTTGTGGTTAAGGATATACTGCAAGGTTCCTTTTTCGGGGTTCATGGCTTTAAGGTTCGGTTTTCTAGCCGGTTGAAAAACTTTGGGGCTCACGGCGGAGCTTCCGGCGCCCTTGCGACCACCTGGTTTTGGGGTCTACCCAACCCTAAACCCTAAACCCCTCCAAACCCTAAACCCTAAACCCTAAACTTTAAACCCTAAACCTTAAACCCTAACCTTTAAACCCTAAACCCTCTAGTCTGTCCGAGGTTGCGGGGGTGACCCCTTCGTCCTTCGGAACCGCCTGCGCCGAGAGACGCGTGGCGCAGGTTGCCTCGAAACAGCCTGCGGGTTGCGACATAGTGGGGCCTTAATAACAATAATAATAATAGTAATAATAGTAACAATAATAATAATAATAATAATAATAAATACCTCTACTATTTTGGGGGCTCCTTATTATAATTATGGTATAAGGGGTTGGGAATAGTGGGGCATTAATAATTACCTACTATAGGGTTTAGGGTTTGGGGTTTAGGGTTTGGGGTTTAGATTAAGGCCTTAATAATTACTTATACTATTTTTGGATAATAGGGCTCTATATTAGGGGCCTTCATGATTAAAATAGGGATCTACAATGGGGCTCTGTATTAGGGCTCTGTAGTAGGGGCCTTCATGATTAGAAAAGGGATCTATAATAGGGCTCTACATTAGGGGCCTTAAAGATTAGAAGGAACCCCCAAAATAGTATTGGTAATTATTGAGGCTCCTACATTCTATTTGGGGGCTCCTTATTATAAATATAGTATAACGGGCCTTGGTAGTACTATTATCATTGCAGTTGCAAGGACAATGGCAATAGTGTTGCGTATGTTAGCAAGAGCTCCGGCATTCCGAAAGAAGGCCATACCCATAACAGGGGTAAGGGTGCGACCTGAACAAGTCCAGGCACTGTTCCTTAAGATTCCAACTGCTTCTTTATCTTCCTGCCAGGAAATCAGGATTGTGCAGGCCTCCATATTTGTCTAGAATATGTCTTTAGAGTTCTATCGCTTACGAGCATCACGGAACTCATGCCACGAGTCGTTCCGTGTGCAAGCCATGTAGAATCAAGCTCCTCCCGCGAAGGCTGGAAGCCCCACTCACCTCCAGCTGCACATGACCAAACCCTAAACCCTGAACCCTAAAACCCTAAACCCTAAACCCTATAAACACTGAAACCCTAAACCCTACACCCAATAGCCCTGAAGCCCTAACCTCCAAACTCCGAGCCCTAAAGTTGCAAAACCTACGAAAACCTCCCAAAAAAAGGCCCTATCAACATACCTTTCTGCTTCCTTGGGCCAGGCAGCAATGCTGAGGACCTCGTGATCTGACGGGCATTGCGAAGTGTCGAGCATAGCAGGGGTGTAGGAGTGGGGATAAGTTTCTGACATGAGCAATGTAGGGGCCTTAATGATTCTAATAGGGTTTTGGGCTCCTTTCTGCTATGATTAGAATAAGGAACCCAAAGGAATAATGTTGGTAATTATGTAGGATCAAGGAGCCAGTTTTTTTGTGATTCATCGGTAGTGTCGACAGTAGCTTACATGATACTCCGGCTACACCCCAATCCGGCTAGACGACCTGCTTGGAAGGCTGCTTGGGCTTCTTCGCAGGCATGCCAACGGGACCAAGTCCCACCACGCAGCTTCTCTGTGCCTTTCTTCCATTGACTGCCGCCACGAGGCACGGAGCATCAGCTTCCCCCGTCCTGCCTCGGCGTCCCTTTTTAGCCTACCTTAAGAACCCAAAACCCACTTTTTTGTAGGTTCTTATTATAAACCCTAATATGGGATTTATAGGGACCCTACAAAAAAGGAGGTTTTGGGTTCTTAGCCTAGAGTTTCGGGCATCTTTGGGTTTAGCCCTCTGGTGAGACCTCCGACTTGCCAAAAAAAGCCCCAGATTCCACCGATCTCTCCATCGGAATCGGCTTACTGGCTTCATGTTCGAGCCGGTGTCCTAAAGGCTAAACTCTACATAAAGCCCTGTGAAACCAAGACACTATATACCCTAAACTCCCCACCTGTAGTTTCCTTTAAAGCAACCTGAAGCATAGACTGTGAGAAGGGCGCACGGCATCTGGCAGATTTTGACGGGCGGAGTTCATGCGGCATTTCGTGGTGCAAGGTGCAGCAAGGCTTTTTTCCAAGCAGTGTCGGTGTACACGGATCGCGACTCTATCGCACTTTCGGGTTTCAGACTCTCGTTTTGGCATGCAGTTGTAGTGCTGCACCGAGCAACCGCCCCAGCGAGATCTTCCTGCGGTGTCCACCGGGAGCTCATCACGACGCCTCCGCTCGACAGAGAGTTCGCGGAAGCGGGACAAACGTAACCCTAAACACTAAACCCTAAACCCAAGCTGAACTGTGAAGGATCTATAGAACTTCAAGCCTGAGAGCCTTCGCGGTACCTGTTGCCCACAACCGTGCCAAGTAGTAGTCGTAGAAGTCGTCGTCATCGTCGTCGTCCCTAAACCCTAAACCCTAAACCCTAAACCGTAAACCCTAAACCGTTAAAAGCCTTAGGACAAAAGCCACGCGGCTCGCCAGGTGGAAAGACCAACTCGCCTGGTGAGCTCTGAAGGCTTCGAGTCCACAAAACAAGCGAGGCAACGCACGGCTGAGTCCCTGGAGCTTCTGAAGGGTTCGGATTTAGGGTTTAGGGTTTAGGGTTTAGGGTTTAGGGTTTAGGGTTTAGGTCTCAAACCTTGAGTGGTTGGGATCGTCTTGCCGAGCTGTTGCTGCTTGCACGTGAAAGGTTTTGCTCTTGCTTCTGCACTGGCTATTTCCTCAGGTTGCCGTGGCTGCCAATTTGAACGGCGGCTTCACGCAGGCTACTGCAAACCCACTTGTGGATCTTGCTGAGACATCCGAGAACCTTCCTTGCCACCCTGAACTCTACTCTAAACGCTAAACTTAAACCTGAACCCCAGACCATGAACCCTGAACCCTAAACCCTATCAGGCTCTAAACCCTAAACTTAAACCCTATCAGGCCCTAAGCCCTAAACCCTACTTAGAGGATCGTGGGACTTAGTAACTAGGGTTACAAATACGGTAACTATAGTTACATGTAATTATAACTCCCATTAAGGCACTTATAACCTTACTTACTAAGTCCCATGAGCCTCCAGACAAATCCTTGCCTTTCCTGGAAAGACTGATACTTGGAGGATCTTAGTTGCTAAGTCCCATGATCCTCCAAGTATCAGTCTTTCCAGAAAGGGATTGTGGCTTGGCCACAATCCGTAGCGGCCTTCGGTGTGCGTGTAGCTGACACCGGCCTTTGCCGAACCTTCCTCCTGGGCCGGGAGGGAAGGGTTTAGGGTTTAGGGTTGGGGGTTCAGGGTTCAGGGTTTAGGGTTTAGGGTTTAGGGTTTAGGTTTAGGGTTTAGGTTTTTTTTTAAGCACTTTTTTCCTCCCGCTGTTCAGGGTTTAGGGTTCAGGGTTTAGGGTTCAGGGTTTAGGGTTCAGGGTTTTACGGTTTATGGCGGCTTCGTGGGTCCGCAGGGAAGGCTCATAAGAACGACAGCGATAGAAGCATGCCTGATGAGCGTCACCATGATGGTCTACACCTCAATGCCCCTCTGTCTAAAGCTGTTGCTGTTTCATTCCTTTGCGCAAGGAAACCGTAAACCTTAAGCCCTAAGCCCTAAACCCTCAACCCCAAAGCGTACCAAAACCCTAAACACCCCAAACACGCAACTCTAAACCCGAAACCGTTGAGCCAAGTGTCCGTGTAGTACTTCACCTTGATGGTGTCTTCCATCTTCCCGAGGCGCATGACGTCCACCGTGAGCGTGTCTTCCTTAATCCCAAAGGGTCCTACGTACCTATATCGTAGAATGTATATAGGGTTTCTATGTTAGGTATTTCCATTCTGATTTAGAGAGTATAGAATGTAGAATTTCCATATTAGGAATATCTGTTCTGATTTAGAGTAGAAGGTAGAGTTTCTATGTTTGGAGTTTCTATTATGGTTATTCTGGTTTATTGCCGTCGATTATTCTAGTTTTCGATACATTGCAGTAGCTTCTATTGTGGTATGCTTAGTATGTGGGTAGTTCTCTGAATTAGGGTCTCTCTTTCGGTCCCCCATATGGGAGTTTCCGAAAATTCGGGGTGCCTTATTTTGGGGTCCTTATATTGAGGATCCTATTATTTAGGGTGCTATATTAGGGTCCCCTATTTTCGGAAACTCCCATATAGTACGGCACCCTTATAAAAAAAAGGACCCCCAAAAAGGGGCCCAAATTTAGAACTACCCACAACTACCCATACATACCCTTTTAGAAACCCTTTATAGATCCGCTTAAGGAACCCTAAACGGGACTCCATATTTGTGGTATCTTTAGTAGGATACTCTTTCGTCTCCGCAACATCGAAGGACCGAACCCAACAATGCCAGGCCCAAGGATCCTTCTCCACCTCGACGAAGTAGATCCTTATGAGTTTCGGTCACAGAGGGTAGATGGTAGATCCTTATAAGTTCTGGTCACACAGAGAGAGAGAGAGAGAGAGGGAGCGAGAGATAGAGAGAGAGAGAGAAGAGAGAGAGTGAGAGAGAGAGAGAGAGAGACAGAGATATCGACAGACAGACTAGAGAGCAAGCAAAAGACAAGTCGCGCTTGAAGCTGTTTCAAACCCACTTGGCTTCCGGTACTAAGGCGGCCAGGTCGCGAGGTGGTGAACTGAAGGATGTCTTTGGAGCCACTGTCGTCATCTTCCGCGTCATCATCAGGGCCAGGCGCGTCATCGTCAGGAACGCCGGGTTTGGAAACCTGGGTCTTCTTGGCTCAGGGTTCTTGCCAAGAGCTCAGCCTAAGTTATCGGTTTAGGGTTTAGGGTTTAGGGTTTAGGGTTTAGGGTTTAGGGTTTAGGGTTTAGGGTGATCTTTAGAACATATGATATCGGGCTTCCTTGTTATGGTAGCTTAGATTAAGTTCCTTAACGAAAACACAGCCCAAGGCCAGCCAGAACCCCAAACAATAAACCCTGAACCCCAAAGCCCCTATAAACCCTAAACCCTAATTCCTAAAACAACCCTGAACCCCTAAGCAGCCCCTAAACCAGAACCCTACTTTTTCAGCTCTGCAAAGCGTCAACTTCAACAGGAGCAGAGCTCTACTCTAGGAGCTTAGGGCTTAGGGTTTAGGGTTTAAGGGTTTAGGGTTTAGGGTTTAGGGTTTAGGGTTTAGGGGTTTAGGGGTTTAGGGTCTTTCATCACAATGCACCAGGCGCTTTCCCGGCTCGCTCGTGATCGCGAAACCATTAATACGTGGGTTTCCGAAAATAGGGGACCCTAATCTAGTACCCCAAATCGTAGGATCCTTATTATAAGGACCTCCAAAATAAGGTACCCCTTGTTTTCGGAAACTCCCATACGAACAAAGCCAAGGAGGAATAATTAGGAACAACAATGGCCAAAATAGCCATAACCATAATGATAATGAGCATAGTGACTACAATGGTCACAATACTAGTACACCCTAAACCCAAAGCCCTGAACCCTAAACCGCAAACCCACCTAGCCTAAACCTTAAACCCTGAACCCCGGGACTCTGAAAACGCAAATGCACTCTTCAGAAAAGAGGCCGCCACTGCAATCGGATCGCCCTCCGGGGCAGGAACCACTCCTGGGCTGATCCGGGCTTGAATGGCGCGGTTTAAGGCTTTAAGGGCTCAGGGTTTAGGGTTTAGGGGCTCAGGGCTTAGGCTTCAGGGCTTTATGGGGGTTTAGGGCGTAGGGCTCAGGAATGAGGGTCAAAGGGTTTTAGGGTGGAGGGTCTGCTCAGTCACGCCATTGCCCCGGTGTGGTCTTCTTTCTCTTCTGTTGTGAGAATGTACCTAGACCCTTCAATGTAGTCCCTTTTTTTATTAGATGACTTATTTTGTGGTTAGGATCCTATTATAATTAGAAACTAAGGTAACACCAAAAAGGTACTACATTGAAGGGTCTAGGTAGTCTCAACCAACATCAACTCGCACTCTGCGCTTCTGCATTCCAACCCGGCTCCAATCCAAGCCCCAACGGCCCGCCGGAACCAAAGTTCCGTCGACCCCTTCGCAACCTTCACCCCTCGGGAAGCATAACTATGAACTTTTGCTATGACTTTATGAAGTCAAAAAAAGAATCTGAGGAAGCATAAGTACGATTTTTTCGTATGACTGTATGAAGTCAAAGCAGGTTCTGATGCAACTGCCTGAAACCGAAGTCTGCAGACAACACAGAAGGACTTCTATCATGTCGAAGCTCGTGACAGCGCTTTGTCTGACATCGCGGACCAGGGCTCGGGAAAGCCACGCTCACTCCCGCAGCTTGGGCCAAAAGTTGCAGGGCTTCATGATCAAATCTGGGTTCTTGTTTCAGAATCTATGGTTCTCTACCAGACCTACTGCAGATCCATATCTGGGTAACCTGCATTGGGACCGACATGACATGCAATGCAGGCGGGATGAGTATCACGGGGTCAAACGCAATTTCGGACAGAACAGACAGGTTCACATAAGCCCTCAAGCAAACTCTAAACCCTAAACCCCGAAACCCTAATCCCCTAAACC